GAATTGTTTTAATAGAAAGTACAAAAAAGTATCTATCTATCGATCTATTTTTGTTACAAACAAACTGAACATTGATTATTTATTACTCACGAGCTAGGCATCTGACAAATACATATTGACAATGATTTGTAGAGATACCCTTATCTAACGCCGCAATCAACTAACAAATCAGTATACAGTATAATGCGCATGCGTTATAAAAACCTCATTATTATTTGTTGAGATGTGACGCAAGTAAAGTTATCCTTGAAGCACAGCGATCGTATAAATAGCACACGCCCTGATAAATATTTTATGATAGATGTAGAAATAGTTCGAAGTTGCGAAATGTCTTAGTTGATACAACAACCATATATGGAAAATATGTTATGAGCCTGTACAAAAAGAATAAATAAACGGAAAAGAAATCGTGTTGTTTTTAATTAAACATTCTGAGCAGACAACTGTGTTAATCATAAGTACAGAATAATTTTATTTTCTATAATTTATGGATTAAATTATTTAACCTGATAGTGAAATTCAATTCAACAAAATGACCGAAAGATGTCTGGTTGTTAAGCCTAAGCAACTAAATACCGTATTTTACGATTAGTTCAAGACAGTATCTGCTGTTCGACTTCCGAAGTGTGTGAGAATTGGTTTCGGCTCTTTATCATAGTATTTTGTCTTCAAATTTTGGGGTTTTATAGAGATTTCACTACGGAGTTGTAAAATAGTGTAAACGGTATAAATGCACAAAATTTATTTTACTAAACTCGTGTGAATATATTTTACAATAATAACTTACAACCATCGCATGTAATCTGTATTACAGAATAGCCACCCAGTGGCACAGCGGTATGTCTGCGAACTTACACCGCTAGAAACCGGGTTTCGATACCCGTGGTGGGCAGAGCACAGATAGCCCTTTGTGTAGCTTTGTGCTTAATAACAAACAAACTAAAGATTACAGAATGTAAGTTGTTTTACTCTACTAATAATAACATCTTTAACCAGCAGTAACTTTCAGCTAACACATAAGCTGTATTAGCGAACAGAACCTGTTTTATTATCCAGGTATTATATTTTCCCTTTGGGAACAAAAACTTCCAACTTTTGTATGTGTACTGTATTAGCGAAGAGAAGTTTTTATATTTTTCTGAGATCAGTATTTTAACATTTATAGAAATAAGTTCTATAATGGTGAAGAAGAGTAAAAAAATTAATAAAAAAACACAAAGAAACATTATAGTAGTATGTCTTAATAAAACGCATCTTTTGATGCTATTATAACTTGGATTTTCTTTATGAATCTACTTACACCTGGTGTGGAAAATATGTAGCTTGAATAGATTTGTGACGCAAAAAAAAGACAATATTTCGAACATCAGGTATTATTTATAAATATGCACTACCAGAACTTGTGTTTAATTTTTTTAAAATTGTAATAAGTAATTAAAAACAACGTTTTATATTTACACATTAAAAACTTTATTGAAGCCGTACGGCTTCCACTTTAAAATAGAAATATCACTCTACACGTACATGTTTCGACGTGATCTACGTCATCCTCATATGCATATCAGGTATTATTGCATAATTTTCTCTTAATGGATATCGTCTAGTAGCTTCATCACCAAACTCTTCTGGGAAAAATGAAGTACTTTACGAATTAAAACCCGTTTAAGTTAGCATTGGTCGATATAAAGATGAAGTTATGGAAACGTCTAAAGTCCGTCTGACAGCTTTCTTTAATTTTGTATTCTATTCCAGTATCCCGGATAACTATCGTAGTTGTCAAGGGTAGAGAGAGAGAGAAGAAAATACTTCAAAGCTATCTTGACACGTGTTCGTTTAGAAGAGGTATTTTTTGTTTCTTCTCCACAGACAACTTATTTATTTCCCAAAATCGACTGATCATGATTATGCCGGCAGGGTCTTCAGTAATTTCTTCTGGATTCTTTAAGCACTACGTTTTTCGGTTATGTCTCATAATATGATTTTAAATAACTTAACAGCTATCAATACGTTACAATGTGCTGTATGAAAAACAGAAACGGAACAAAATACACGTGCTTCACGAGGGCTATCTGCGCTAGCCGTCCCTAATTTAGCAGTGTAAGACTAGAGGGAAGGCAGCTAGTGATCACCACCCACCGCCAACTCTTGGGCTACTCTTTTACCAACGAGTAACGGCTGAAAGGGCGAGCATGTTTGGTGTGACGGGGATTCGAACCGGCGATCCGCAGATTGCGAGTCGAGCGCTCTAACCACCTGGCCATGCCGGGCCACATCTTATCAGGACTGAGAGTTAAAAAGCTACTTTGTTTTATAGCAGTTTATTTAGTCGGTAGGTGTCGATGATGCTTTTGTTTATTTGTTTGAAGTTAAGCACAAAGCTACACAATGGGCTATCTGTGCTCTGCCCACCACGGGTATCGAAACGCGGTTTCTAGCGTTGTAAGTCCGCAGACATACCGCTGTGCCACTGGAGGGCGGCGATGATGCTAATCACAAAATTTAAATTTATGAAAGCGTTATTTGGCTTACCAGATTAACTGGATTAAAGTGTTAAATGTGTATTTAAAGGGTATTTTATGTGAATTGCACCCTTGGTATAGTGAAAAGTGATGATTTGCCAGTGTCTTTACAACCAACTGTATTACATTCATGGAAATGGTCTGATAAGGGAAGTAGAAAAAGTGTTAACATCATGTGTTCTTAGCCCTCTTTTCGTAGATTTTTCACTAGCATTTGTCAGTTTAAAATACAGTAAAGGAGGGAGGAAGAGGTCTTAAACTGCACCTGACTCCCCGATCCAGCCATACACACTCTTTTAAAGTATATTTTAACTAAATAAATGCATTCATAGGAAAGGATTTTTAAATTAATAAATACAGTACGCGACTAAGCTGTAAAAAGATCACTTACTGAATGTTACTTTTTCCAACTAGAAATGTTCCGACAGGAAAGTGTCTGAAAAACGGATTTATCCAACGTTTGCCAGAACATTTCCCCCAAGCTCCAAGCAGTCCAAATCAGTAATCTCATTGTTGAAACATTTCGAGTGGACCAAAGTAATCTTGGTTGTTTCCAAGAAGCCATCGGATGTACAAATGGAAGAGGCTTTGAATGGCCTGGCTAGGGAACACGGTATCACTGTTACGGAAACCCACTACATCCCTGGCCACTATCTGACCAAACATAACGAGACTGTCAAACAGATCATACTCCAGACTTACAAGAAGACTAGAGGTAGGATTAAAACGTGTGTAAAAATAAAATCACTAGAAGTACATAAATAAAGGATTGTATTTCAGTATTCTAATAACTCTATTTTATTTACGAGAACCGTAATAAATATTATAAAAACAATGTACGATTTTAGTGTTCTGATGTTCATATTTTATTTACGAGAACCGTAATAAATATTATAAAAACAATGTACGATTTTAGTGTTCTGATGTTCATATTTTATTTACGAGAACCGTAATAAATATTATAAAAACAATGTACGATTTTAGTGTTCTGATGTTCATATTTTATTTACGAGAACCGTAATAAATATTATAAAAACAATGTGCAGTTTTAATGTTCTAGTGTTAATATTTTATTTACAAGGATCTTAATAAAGATTATAAAAACAATATACGGTTTTAGTGTTCTGATGTTCATATTTTATTTACGAGAACCTTAATAAATATTATAAAAACAATGTGCAGTTTTAATGTTCTAGTGTTAATATTTTATTTGCAAGAACCTTATTAAAGTTATAAAAATAATGTGGTATTATTTATGTTCTAATGTTGATATTTTATGTTAGCCTTAGTAGTGATCTTAGAGAATATAGATCTGTTTTCACTCTTCTAGGTTAGTGTTTTATTTACATTAACTTTAGCAGAAATCAATAATAATATTTTATTCATCGAACCTACCGAGCCATTCTCCATCCACCCAGGCATTGTTACTAAACAATGAGTTAATTATTTTTTTGTCTTTTTTATGTCACTATGTCAAAGAAATCTCACACGCAGCACAGCCGCGAATTACAAAATAAAGAAAGTCTGACCCGTATACGTGATAACCGCAGTGAATGGGTTAATGTGATAACCGCAGTGAATGGGTTAACGTGATAACCTCAGTGAATGGGTTAACGACACATTTCCCTCCTTCTCTTTTTATTGTTTTCAAGAGAATATTTGAAGACTTTCGTGCCCCCTCCCAGTGACACAGCAGTATGTCTGCGGACTTACAACGTTAGAAACCGGGTTTCGATACCCGTGGTGGGCAGAGCACAGATAGTCCATTGCGTAGCTTTGTGCTTAATTTCAAAACAAACAAACGAGACTTTCGTTGTTATTATAGAAACACTTAAAAAAAATGTGTTACACAGTCTGGCCGAAAGTACTACGAATCTAAACCATTTGTAGAAAAAATGTACGTTCTGACAGCAGCATCTATCTGGATAACACACTGTAAACACAAATGTAAACGATTTATCATATCGCGGACGTCGGTGCGCCACCTATTCTCTACTGGCCCAAAAAATTAAAAAACAAACAAACATTATAATCATGTTGCACCAGAGTCTTATTAGTTTTGAGATCCTCGTATTACCGTAGTTGCTATTTTTAAATCGATATTTTATTATCTCTAATTTTTTCAGCTTATAATATTTTCCTATTTTGATTTGTGTTTTGTGTGTGAAGTTGGTTCAGTAAGAATTAATAACACAAACGTTTTTTAGATATATTATGTAGGCTAAGGTGTCATCATCCACTTACAGTACAAACGTACATGCATATCTTATGTAGGCTAAGGTGTCATCATCCACTTAGATCGATTTGAAAGAACCTCACATGTTGAATTCTAAAGGGTATATAACAGTTAGTGGCCAACTAGAAAGTACAAAGACAGATACAGGGGGAGCTAAGATCCTCCCTTTTCCAGAGCGAAAGAAATCCAAGCATAGAAATTTTGTTATTCAGTTTGTGAAGCTTTAACATAAACAATAATTATTTTAAATCATTAATGAAGTTTGAAATAGTATATCCTTCATTATTATTATTTAGAACAATAATGGTATATATTTATTTTATTGATTAACATATTGTTAAGGAACTGAATGTATTATTACAATTATACCTGCACATCACTAAACTAATATTCTAGTCCAAGAATTAGTCAACCCACACTTCCATAATCGTATTTCATACTTCTGAAAAGCATGTGTAATAAATACGACTTACTTTCTTTGTGTCTCCATGTGAATTAGCGGTAAAGTTACGGACTTACTACGTTAAACTCCGGGGTTAGATTCCACGCATTAAACACATCAGATAGCCCAATGTGGCTTTGCACTAAAACAAACCAAACACGCTTTTTTGTAGGTCATCAAATAAATAATTTATTGTATTAAGTAACATGAAGAACTACGAAATTGTGTAAGATCCATCTTTTATTTTATCACGCCCCCTCCACCGTCAGAAAAAAAGATATGATCTGGCTCACCTGACAAATGTGAAAAATATAGATTACATGAAACGCTGGTAAACCACTTGTAGGTGTTCTTAAGAAGATAAGTGATTATTTGTAACGCTGGTATACATCCTATGGTTGTTGTTAAGAAGATAGGTCATTATTTGTAACACTGGTATACTTTCTATGGGTGTTCTTAAGAAGATAAGTCATTATTTGTAATGCTGGTATGCATCCTATGGGTGTTGTTAAGAAGATAAGTGATTATTTGCAACGCTGGTATACTTTCTATGGTTGTTCTTAAAAAGATAAGTCATTATTTGTAACGCTGGTATACATCCTATGGGTGTTCTTAAGAAGATAAGTCATTATTTGTAACACTGGTATACATCCTATGAGTGTTGTTAAGAAGATAAGTCATTATTTGTAACACTGGTATACATCCTATGAGTGTTCTTAAGAAGATAAGTCATTATTTGTAACGCTGGTATACATCCTATGGTTGTTGTTAAGAAGATAAGTCATTATTTGTAACACTGGTATGCATCCTATGGGTGTTGTTAAGAAGATAAGTGATTATTTGTAACGCTGGTATACTTTCTATGGGTGTTCTTAAGAAGATAAGTTATTATTTGTAATGCTGGTATGCATCCTATGGGTGTTGTTAAGAAGATAAGTGATTATTTGTAACGCTGGTATACTTTCTATGGTTGTTCTTAAAAAGATAAGTCATTATTTGTAACGCTGGTATACATCCTATGGGTGTTCTTAAGAAGATAAGTCATTATTTGTAACACTGGTATACATCCCATGAGTGTTGTTAAGAAGATAAGTGATTATTTGTAACGCTGGTATACATCCTATGAGTGTTCTAAAGAAGATAAGTCATTATTTGTAACACTGGTATACATCCTATGGGTGTTCTTAAGAAGATAAGTGATTATTTGTAACACTGGTATACATCCCATGAGTGTTGTAAAGAAGATAAGTGATTATTTGTAACGCTGGTATACATCCTATGAGTGTTCTTAAGAAGATAAGTCATTATTTGTAACACTGGTATACATCCTATGAGTGTTCTTAAGATCCAGCTTATCCTGAAGCTAATATACTTCATTAGCTTAAGATCTAGCTTGTTACAAATAATGACTTATCTTCTTAAGAACACTCATAGGATGTATACCAGCATTACAAATAATGACTTATCTTCTTAAGAACACTCATAGGATGTATACCAGCATTACAAATAATGACTTATCTTCTTAAGAACACTCATAGGATGTATACCAGTGTTACAAATAATGACTTATCTTCTTAAGAACACCCATAGGATGTATACCAGCGTTACAAATAATGACTTATCTTTTTAAGAACACTCATAGGATGTATACCAGCGTTACAAATAATGACTTATCTTTTTAAGAACAACCATAGGAAGTATACCAGCATTACAAATAATGACTTATCTTCTTAAGAACACTCATAGGATGTATACCAGCATTACAAATAATGACTTATCTTCTTAAGAACACTCATAGGATGTATACCAGCGTTACAAATAATGACTTATCTTTTAAGCTACTGAGGTATATTAGCTTGAGGATAAGCTGAATTTGACTTTTGCTGTGATTTTGTAGTTTAAGAATGATTTATATGTTTGTAGTTAAGCACAAAGCTATACAATGGACTATCTGTGTTATACCCACCACGGGTATCAAAACCCAGTTTTTAGCGTTATAAGCCTTCAGACTTATCGCTGAGCTACATTGAAGAATGAAATGGACTTGAAACATATGCAACGTAAAACTTAGTAAATATGTGAGAATTTCGAGTAGTTCTTTATCAAACAGTATAGCTTAGTCGACTATTCTGTATCAAAACTTAGCATTTGTGGATAATATTGACCACGTAAAAAACTTCAGGGATTTCAGTTTGCAATGAAATACAGTACTTTACTGGTTTTGAAGTATAACAAGAAAAACTACATAACTCCTTCAAATTACAACTTCAATGAATATGGGCAGTTTTCGTAAATATTTATGAACATAACATAAATAACGACATTCAAACAGTTATTTTTAGCCCACTGTTTGGATCGTCTAACTTACGTTACCAACGAGAGAAGAAATTTTAAGTAACAAAAATAACTTTTAAGATTTAGTCTACGAATGAAAACGTTGCTCTCGTTATGGCAAACAAACAATATGTAACGTCGTTTTAAGGTAAAATCCAATGACCTTGTACTCAACCCACGTGTACACGCGCCGACGTGTACATTATTATCAAATAAGCCTACAATGACCATTGTTTACAGTTACCAAATACCAAGGTGCAGTAAAAATGATATAAAGACGTGTTTTGATTATTTTATCCACGATTAGAACCAGTTCGTGACAGAAGCTTATAGTCAAATAACAACGATATTTTCTGGTTTCTTAAGACAACAAGTAATCCAGTTCTTTGTTGGATAGATACTACTTCAACCTGGACTGGCACGGCCTAGTGGTTAGGGCGCTTTACTCGCAACCTAGAGGTCGTGGGATTAAAACCCGTCATCGAACATGCTTGCTTTTTCAGCCGTAGAGACTTTATAATGTGACGGTCAATCCCACTATTCGTTGGTAAAGAGCAGCCCAAGAGTTGTCGGTGGGTGTTGTTGTCTAACTGCCTTCCCTCTAGTCTATCGATTCTAAATCAGGGACGTGTAACGCAGATAGCTCTCGAGTGGCATTGCGAGAAACTCAACGAATCATGGTAATTCTAATCAAAGGTCAAGT